CCGAGAATAAATAGCAGGGGGAGCAGAGTGGTTAATACACACACACAATGACGTACTGTACACATGAACGCATCGACGTGCGAATACAAGGATGTATGCGCACGGTATATGCAGAGCTTCACAATGGGCTACCTTTAGAGCGGTCCAATCAGATATCGAAGAAAATGGTAAAATGCTTGCTTTTAATAGAATCGGCTGACACACACACACACACACACAGCAAAGCAGACAGGGAAATTAAACACGCCTACTGATTAATCCAGGACAGAGTGGATCATCAGTGTTGTTCCTTGGCCTTTTGTCTCTGATTAAATGGAGAAGCATGAGGAGTGAAGTGCTTCGAGCTGCCAAACTCGGAGCTGAACATTGTGTTCTCACCTATAAGTGACAAAGGCGCAGTGATGAGTGGTTAACCGCTACCTGCTCAGAAATGTCAGCAGCTCCAGGAACAAAATGTCTTTTACATGTTTTCGCGCTATAGTGTTTTAACAATAAGAAAAAAAAAAAGGAACCTGTTAGCGGTTGAACATATGGAGACGCAATGATCATGATGTACCCTTTGAACGGCAGGTCGTTTCTGAGCATTTTTTTGTTCTGGTAACACTTTCCGCACCGTGGGCTCATCTTTAACTGCAATTTGAAGTCCCATGGCTCTATAGAAACAGCAGAACCATGTAAGAGGTAGAGAGAACACAAACATGTCTGTTGTGCCGTTTGACAAAGTTCTTTTACGAAGATTGAAAAAAACAAAAAAACATGCATTCTACATTTGTTGCGTGCCTACAGGTGTTACCAATTCTGAAAAAAGTGGAAACTCTAAGAGATATAGGATAGATACAGATATTTCACTACTTATATTATATTTCCAGTCTTTTTTCGTATTGGTCTACCCACAGCCTGCAGTTCAGTCTAATATAATCACAGAATCTTTTGCTTTTTAAAAAAAATCTGGTAAGGGAAAACACTTTATTATCGGCAAAGACACACATAGTATAATGATTTCCATGATATTTTTTAAAGATCAAATGCCTTTGAAACCCGCCAGTGGGTTTAGGAGTTAACAAGTATAAAATATATACATGAAACAAAAATTTGTGAAATAACTGAAGAAATGATTCAAACTCAGCTCATTGTTGTGAACTGTTATTTCATTCATCTTATTTTCACTGTAAAAGAGTCTTACTAGGTTTTATATAAATTTTATTGAATAATGGGTTTTTATTTCATAATGCTCCTTTTCAAAAGTCTTTCAATTTACTTTGTGCCAGATTCTTCTCTTTTTTTCATGTCAACAGTGCTGTGACAAGACAAGCACCAAGCCTTGACCTTTTGTGCCCCAGGTTAGCTACTGTTAGCATGAGCAACAACAATGTCAATCAATTTCTACTATGTAAGGTGATGCTGTAGATAAGTACAGACATGGTCTAACCTCAGGTGAAGCTTAACCTCACCTTTTGTTTAGCTTAACAAAAATAGTAAGAATTTAACAAAAAATATAATTAAAAAACAAAAAATGCACATGCTACTTTGCTAGCGAGCTGACTAGCTCGGCTAGCTTGGGAGTTTGGATAATAGCATCAAGGTACAACATACCACATAATAAGTACCATTTACTCAAATACTGAACTCAGATACAATTTTTAAGTTACATCTATTTTGTTACATTTTAGAGGGAAATGCTGTACTTTGTATTTAATTATATTATAATTATATTATATTATATCTTTTTTTTTTTTTTTTAAAGTTCTACTTTTCACAATATCTTTGACACAAAACATAGCTAAAGCTAAAGCTGAGCTGACCAGCAAACAGAAGGACAGTCTATATTAATGCATTTGTTCCCAAAACACAATAACACATCACTATGAGAACTTTTACTTTTTACTGTAAGTCAATTTTACTGCTAAAACTTTAGCAACATTTTGAATACAGGTACTTTTAATGGTGTATTTCCAAACAGCGGTGTTGTTGCTTTTGCTTTTATACTCACTTTATACTATGTGCTTTGTACTACATACAGCGCTTTCATGCAAAGTTAGAAACTAGTCGGTAGACAGAAATAAAATGCAGTTTTGTGAAGCACACTGCTTTAAAAAACACAACTTGAAAGGAAGGCATCTTCATTCGATATGGTCTAACTTGGGTTCGCCTGATATAATGAGTTCTTTTAAAATCCAACTATGAAGCTAAATTATAAAAAAAACTCTAATTACGTACTTGAATTTGGGTTAAGCAGAGTGCATAAATACAGACAGTAAATGAGGCTAGGAGGAAAAAAAAAAACGTAAAAGAAAATGAGCGCGCTCACATATGCGAGCACAGAAATGTTCACATGAAAGCTTTTCTGAAATTAAAAAAAAAAGCTTTCAGATGTAACAGTGCACTGCGTTCATGTGAAACCCTAAACCGAATGTGAAGGAACAGGTACTGTTGCTTTCATCCGACCAAACACAAGCAATAACATTACATGTCCTTTTAAATCTAGCAGAGGAGCTCGTAACGCTTTAGGAGACGCAACATGCACCTCCGTGTGTGAATGTGCGCCGAGCTAACTACAGCAACTGGGTCACCCAAATTTTCAAGGGGAAGATGTTACCTTCAGGGCAGTATTCAGTGGGGTGAAACATTCACTGTGTTGGTTTTCAAGACACCATGCCGACTCCACCGCGCTGATCGCTACACCAGGCACTGCTGCACACGCTCAACGTTTTTTTTTTTTTTTGAGGGGTGGAATTTTTAAATTTCCTTTTATTTATTCTGTCAGACACAAAAAATGAGTCACCTTGAAAGGACACATATTTGACTCAAGTCCTCGGAGGATAAGTGGCTTTAAAGCTCTCACTGATGACATTAAGAAAATTCTGTTCAACCTGAAACCTACTTAAATGAGAAGTCGCAGCAACACGTCTGCGTGCACTTTAGGTTAAAACACTCCGAGGGAAAACTGTTCTCGGGCAGATAAAACGTGCAATCGCATCTCTCTTTATTAGCAGAAGCCAAACTCCGGGCAAACAGTTTGGATGCAGCTATTACAACCGATGACGAAATGAGCTGTACAACTGGTACATTTTGCAGTCACATGGCATCAGCAGAACCGCTCCGAGCGCAGAAATGATCTATTTTGTCCTTTTTAGTCACAGTCGGTGAAAAGGTCTTGCATCAGTTGAGATTGCTTTGCCCCCAAGCAAAAAACAAATGCAAATACTGTACAAATATGCATGACCCCCGTGTGTGTGGTCAAGCGCGCATACAGTAACACACACACGCAAACACAAACATGTCGGCGCATACGGAGAGAATCCACAGGGAAGAGACAATCTGAGGAAGCACGGTGACATTCTCTCTCTCTCTCGTTCCTTGTGTGGCGTGCGAGGAAATCAATAGTTATTGCAGATGCATTTTCTGCCCCCTAACTGAAGAACACTTGGACAACAGGCTTCATCCTGCATGAAGCGCAGCACAGTCTCCACGCAGAACGCAGTAAATGTCAGGTGAAGGCCTGTGGGAGTGCCGATTCAGTAGCTACATCATGTACCGCTGAGCACCTATGTGCAGCATGCAGAGTTTTAGTGATGTTTTTACCCCCTTCTGATATCCGTGTAGGATAAGAGCAAATTTGAAAATACATTTTATGCCACAAGATGGAAGCTGAGATTAAAAAAAAAAAAAAACAGGTTGTTGCACATTGCATCCACTCAATCTGCTTTCATACAACTCTACAATATCTGTCCAGGGAGTTACAGCTGCGGTTAGCCTAGCCGTGTGATGTCGGTTTGCTCAATCCGTGCAAAAAGAAAAAGGAAAAACAACTTGTCAATTTTTTGCAAGAATTGCATTCGTGAGAGTTAAGAGCTGCTTGTGATTGATTCCGTCAACCTTTGAACACAGCCGGGGCGAACTATTTCCCAGTCTTTGTGCGCCTAACCTGTCTTCTAGCTCCGGCTTCACATTTATTTTACAGACGCTGATTTTCTCATCCGACTCAAAAAAAAAAACAAAAAAAGACTAAACATCAAAGAAACAACAGCATTTCCCAAAATGTCACTCAGTTTCTTTCAAGTCGTGTATGGTTGGATGCACCTAAGTATTTACGGTGACAAGCAGCTTTTCAGTTTCTTATCCGAACCCGCTAACAATTTACTCTCTGAGGCACCACCGTCAGCCTCCTTATCCTCACGGCGCTTACTCCAGTAGAGATACATTAGTCATACATGCGCCTCCACATTTCACGTATACATAATGTATACGTAGCTTAATGTTTAAAAAGACATGAAACTCTGTCTACTCGTGACCTAAACTGTCTCTGTTGGTTCAGAGCGTACAGTGATAACACTGACATTATCTTCTCATCTCCTTCTGCTGGTCCCTCTGGAAAGCTCCGAAAGTCAACCTCAGTGTCTCTCTAATTTCAGACACTTAATGAGATTTTTAATTGGTGACCTTTTGAGAACGGTTTCATACCACAGCTCATGAGAGCACTTGAGGGGAGCCAATGCGAAACACTCAATACTCACGCCAGGATCCTTCTTGACAGTCTTCCAAGATATTTACCTTCACCCGCAGATAGATCAGTTGATTGACTTATCAACGGGCGGACGCAGACAGACCGAGGGAGCTGCTAACAACCGGTTTTTACAGTGATGGAAATTCATGGCATGTTTTTACTACCACAGGAATTATCTGAAGACGGGAAAACGAAAGTACAACAGTCTGCGACATGACCACATCATAAAACTCCCTCCGCTGCACTTCATCAAACTTTTAACATCGCTCTGTTTGACAAGCGACGGGCAAAAAAAACACAATCTCAATAAACAAAGCCCAGCTGAGTTGAGCAAGGAGCCAAGACAGCATGTTAAAGCGTCGGTGTGGCAGACAGAAATATATTAGACGTAGGTGGCGCTGAGTGTCTCTTTGTGTACCAACAAACAAAAGCAGAGACTCAAAGGACTGTGGATGCGAGGCTTAAAAAAAAAAAAATTGTGGCCTCAGCTTCTTACCGTGGTGAGATATCGCAGCCCTGTTGCATGAAGGCGCCAAGCGAAAACCAAAGGGAATTGAAGATGCCAAACTCGTTGGTCTGCTCTGGGCTCTGCTGGTTGGTGTTCTGCTGCGCCGGCGTTTGGCCCTGCTGCACCCCGTTGGTGGCCGACGTCTGGGTTGGAGTCTGGGGCTCGGCTCCCTCCTCGTAGTCCTCGGCGTGCCACTCGTACGGGCTGAACCGGCTGACGAGGAAGAGGACGACGCTGACGCCGATGTAGGCGAACACAATGCACATCCAGATCTCGTAAGCCAGCGGGTCCAGGAAGGAAAACACGCCCGGTTTGGATTTGGTGGGTTTCTTGATCATGATGGAGATGCCCAGGGACATGAAGGGCTTGGAGAAGTCGATGACTTCCTCACGGACCAGGGTGATGGTGAGCGGAGCCACGGCCACGTCGGCTTTCTGAGGGAAGAGCACAGACACAGCCAGGCATTTAAACAAGGCAGCATTAGTCTTACATTTTAACTGTCTTTTATGCTCTACCAAGAGCACCTATAACAAAAACACACCTGGCAAACATTTTCTACTTAAAGCTGCTATGTGTGGAATATCAATGTAATTACATAATCAAGTTATTCATATAGCATACTGTAACATTAGCTTTCCTGTTGCTTGTGAACTGTGGTCAAATTCAGTGTTTTCTGATGCACCACTGGCCCAAATCAGAAACATTTTAGTGTATATATACGACAGTTTTAAATACTGCTACATAAGCAGGGCAGAATGCTAAAACAAAACAACAGTTTTAAGTATCCTGAACTCGTCTGTGTGGATTTTAGTGTGTTAAAGGAGAATTCCGGTTCATTTCGCATCAGTGTATTTGCCATTAATGTGGCTCAAGGTATCGTGCTGTGAAATGAGGAGTCGCACAGTGAAGCTTGTGAACATCCTTTAGCACGACCTCCCTGCAGACGATTTTAACAAGAATCAAGTAAAGACAGAAATTATCCACCTGGAACAGAGATCTCCTTCTAAGGATGCTTGACTTGACCTAGTAAGCTGCATGTTAATCAGAGCAGATCGGTTTGTTTACATGCATGAGGTTGGCTTCCACTTGGGTCATACTGTCTTCTGAGGAAACTCAGCAGTTAAATGCATGGACCATTATGGGATCAACAGCAGGTCGATCCAGTTTGATGAGCGGGCCGTAGTTATTGGAACCACAAACGAAGAGCGAAATCAATGGAAGATGGGAATCAGAAGATAGAGGCAGAGGCAGAAAGACATAAAATTTGTGATGCTCCTGCGCTCAACGCTCTACTGCCAACTGAGGAGGAAAACTTTTCCTTCAAGGAGTGCAAACAGTTGATGCCCCACTTTTTTTATGCGTCCATGGATGAGAGTAGCTACGACTAATTTCTCTGACAAAACACAAAACTGTAAATTCCTTCAACTTCATTTCAGTCAGCTTGGCGGAGAGGACAGATTCGCAGAACTGGATCCAGGCAAACAACAAGTGAATCAGAGGCTTTGATAAACATTGAGATGATGTTTCACCTCCCAAAAAAATCAACTGCAGGAAAATACCGGCCAGACCGAACACTTAGTTCTCCACATGGTAAGTAAAAGCTTTAAAAAAGCTCAAAAAATGGTTGTTCCAAGTGACTAATTTCTGTGTTTACATTTGGTCAGACTGAAAACCAATCTTTAAAGTGATTCATGCAAAAATTGGCTTCCTTCTGAAGGCTGCAGGGACCTCATGCTAATGGCTTCGCTAATAGTGGCTCCTGAGCATTTTGTGTAAATTCAATTTCCTTAAATCTTGAGTGTGAAGAGCGCAAAGTTAGCACGACACTTCGAGCCACGATAATCACGTTAATGGGAAGTAGAATAGTTTGAAATAAACAAGAATTTCCCTTTAAGGCTTTCAATGAACACAATCCATATCAGACTTTTAGTATTTTCCAGCTTTAAATGGGGAATAATGCAGATAAGAGCTCTGTTGACTCACCCCGTACACCAGTTCTCCAACCATGCCGTTCCACATCTTGGTTTCAGGATCTCTGGCTCCGTACTTGCCATCTGAGACGATCTTCAGCTTGTACTGGTAGCCCACATGCTTGGCTATCTCCGCAGCCAGCTCGACGATGTAGCCCTCGTACTTATCGTTCCCCACAAGCTGCTCGTGGTTCTTCTTCAGCATGACATACGGAGACTCCTGTTGGATGTAGGGCAACCATGAGTTAAAAACATCTTTATTTTTGTCATCATTAGTCTTGTTTCAGCGACTTCAAGTGACAAGAAATCACTCATAAGACATGACAGAACAGGTTTCTGCAATAATTAGGCGTCTCGCTGATGTGAAAACAAAAATATTCCCCCCACAGGATGTTGTGACTGTAAAGATAATATAAATTTTTACAGCAGGGCAGTTTGCTGAGCTAATTAAGTCCCAAGCAAAATTATGGCTGATAATAAAGCTCTAGCATGTTGTAAAGTTTAATACTATTTGAGAATTTGGGAAGGAATGTTATGGATGCATTTTATGATCCAGTGTCATTCATCACACACCCTGTTTTTTTTTTTACTCTTTGTTCATAGCTGAGGCTTCGAGAGAGAGAAAATAAAGATATTGGGCTCAAATATAATTGTTGGTGTGAAAGGTTGAGAATAAAAGATAATTGTATGAAATTACAAGGTATTATTGTGGCTTTGTTCCTTGAAAAGTATAGCGTGTAATTCAAACACAAAAGGTGCCTAAGCATGATCATTACGACAGCATCGCCACGTCGAAAGGGGTGTCGATAAGATGTTGCAAGCATCTGATTAGCAAAGTTGAGAAGACATCACATCTCGAGTGAAGACGCACCTGAGTGTGTTGTGTTGTGTGTGTGAATCACGTAGACTGTGAGGCTGACAGCGCTTTCAAGCCTGGCTGACCTCTGCTCCAGGACCAGGCTGTTCTTCTTGTTATACCGACATCTGTACATCTCACACTGATTGACTGGTGTGAGGAATTACAGCTGACACCACACCGGGGGCCTCCGCTTTACTTCCAGAAAAATGTATTTGAGACAGAATCCCAGACAGCTCGGTCTGAATTATCCACCTGCACTTGGAAGGCTTCAATTCCCACAAGTTGTTACGTGTGCCTGTTTTTAGCTGCGGCTATGCTGAGCTGAGCAAATTGTGCCGCCATGTTTCATCTGGGTCCTGGCGGTGGCGGTGGTGGTGGTGGTGGTGGTTTCCCCCCTGTGTGTTACAGTTATCCGTGTTCTCCTGCTCTTTATGGTTGAAGTGAAGGTAATCATTGTTACACGTAACCTGAGGCCCGCTGCTAGACAAATGGCACCCCAGGGGGACAGTGGAGGGAAAAGGTCTGGCGTGCAGCGCTTTCACGGGGTATGCACTCGCACCCACGGTTACACAAAGACCCGCACACACATGTATATACACACAAATGTGCACATAGACATGCCATGGCATACAGAAGGTCCTCCAGGACTCAGTCTCATTGACCTCCAACAGTTCCACCGAGATCCGCTGTCACTCAGCCACGTTAAATACAACACGGGCACGCATTCACGAGAGCTTTTGTGCATGTGAGGGAACGCAAAAACACACATGGAAGTATGCAAAAAAAAAAAAACCCTCCATGCATGTAAATGAGTGAGTAGCTGTGCCACACTCACCTGCTCCTGCTATGGGCAGCCTTTGTGTGTTAGCCTTTATTAATGGCCATCAATCATGACATATTTGATTTAGAAATTTAATTTATGTTTAGTTTACGCACACCTGAAAACGACTGCCAACACGTGATGTTCTGCTATCTCACTGACATAATATAATTATAGTCTTTACTGGGCTCCTGCCATCGCTACATTATACACATAAAGCCCTCACTTACTCCACTAATAATATGTAATTGCCAAAATGAAAGAAAAGGATTTTTTTTTTCATGTCTGTGACATATTGAGATACATCCTAGACATTGAAACTATGATGTCGATATAACTATCAGGGTCATTCCATTTAATATCATCAAGGACCTCAGCTCAACAACATCCAATTTGCTTTAAACTTTTTATTTTTATTCTTGCTAAACTGTGGATATTTAAAATGTGAAATTTCGCCTGCCGACCCACTTTCAGCACTTCTTTTGTTTTTTTTAATGCATTGAAACTTGAGGCTGGGTTTGAAACGCAATATCTCAGAAACTATTAAAGACGGAAGCCTGACACATTCACTATTTTTTTTTCTTCCCACCGTGCCATTGATTTAGACTATATTGATCAAATAGTCTCTGATTATGTGTGAGTTGAAATATGGACAAAAAAATGGGAAAGGCAGCATTAAAAGTCCAATCTTTAAGCACATATTACCAAAAAAATTGAAAATGCAGAAGTCGACGTGATATTTTCGGAACTATATGTGTTTAGATGTCACAATAATACACAATAAAACAAAGCTTTTATATATGAAGTACATGGGCACAAAAATAAGGTATATTCATCAAACCTTCAGAACTGATTAAACAGGTATGACAGGTATGGCTAGATAGTCTAATTCAAGTAGAAAAGAGTTCTGGAGTTTCAAAGTGGTTCTCTAAATTATTGTTTTCATGTGGGCATAATTTCATTTTAATAGTTTAACAGTTCCTGATATATTGCAGTTCAAACATAGCCTCAAATTCCAACACACAAAAAACATATTATTGTTATTTTTTAATAAATGTTTGATTTATCAAGCTAAAATTCTATAAATATCTTTCTTAAAATCCATATTTTATTGTTTAAAATATATATAATTCAGGCAAACTAGAGGTGGTTGAGCAGAAATTGCTCTAAAAATTAGAGGATTTGAGACGGAATGACCCACTAACAGATTGTTTCACTGTCCTGAGAGCTGTGGGCTGAGAGGTGAAAAACAGGCTCCATGCCAAACGTCTAGACGACCCGTGGCTCAGTCGAATGACACGTCTCACGCAGGCTGTGTGGCTGCTTTAACCTGCTAACATTGGCGGCAAACTCAAGAGCAAGCAGCTACGCAAGCATCCCGCACAGCCGAGGTAAGCAGTGCAGCACACTGGTTTAAAAGGAGTTTCTTTCATGAGTTTTGAAAATTACACGATTGTCTCTTGTAAGCTGCCATTTCTTGCCGAAAGCTTATAAAAAGATCCTTTTTTTAATAGTTGCATAGATTGAATGCGATTAAAAACAAGCTTCTAGCATGCTAAAACCAAGCCATAAAATGTCTGTAATGGCCCAGTTTTATTGTAAAGCCATAATCATCAGAACATCAAGCTTTGGTGGCCCATTAAACCAGTTCTGCTCCATTCCTCCAGATCCTCAAGCCCAGTCCGTGTGCACAAGCTCGGACAGCAGGGACTGCAGTGAAGTGACAAACAGTAACCTTCCTCAAGGAACGAATCAGCGAGCACAAAAGTTAGAAGGTGTAAAAACTCTCCTGCTGCTCACACCTTATCTCCTCGCTTAGGTTCCAAGACGGAAAACCAATTTATCTTCCTAGAAAAGGGGACACTGATAGGAGATTATGTCAGAAAGAGTTATTTTGGGTCCGTACCCGGGAGACTGCAATCTTGGATTTAAATTCGGATATTTAAATTTTATTTCTTTAATTAGACGCAGACATCCTGCATGTGAAATTTTGCACATTACATCAAATGCACTACATCATTGAGTCTTAGTCTTTGTGTAAATCCAAAGTCCTGTCAGATGAACTCGAGTACAAATTCATCGACGCCTAGTGTCATGTTTTAAATGTACTCATTTGAATAGCTTTTACACTGCATGTTAACACAGCTGATTATATAAAAAACGCACGTTTTGATATAAAAAAAATAATCCATATAGTCGGAACATCACTTTTACTTTCAGTTTGCAGTTGTTCTGCCAACACTTGGGGAGGCAGAAGCAATCTACAATCAACTTTATTAGAAACTCCTGTGAAATCTATTGCAATCCAATATACAACAGCTCTGCCATAAAGTCTACCCTCATGAAGCTGCTGCATTTTCAGCTTTTGTTGACGTTGTCAAAGAAGGTGATGACTCCATTATACATTTATTATTGGGGTCATTGTGGGTGGTGCTAGTATTCTGTCCACCCCATTACCCTACATGAGGCAGTAACAATGTCGGGGATTTTAAAATATAATACAGTCCAGCACACCAGCACCAGCTACCACGAAGAGCTCAACAATAACCATGAAGTCAAATTATCTTTTTGGTAATGTTAACAGAAAATGTAGAAGCTTTGCAAAAGTACAATTCCTCTTGGCAGAGTTACTGTGTTTGGTTGCATATAATTTTACTTCGGTAACAAATAAAGTGAGCGTCTATCAGTCATGTATGTATTACTTTAAAGAAACAAGTTCATCCAATTTCCACTGAGCAGTTTTGAGCATTTATGTGTCCTCTAGCTCATTTAACATTCATAGGTTAATATTTGCTGGTTAGATTAGCGTTTATTAGTACAGGTTAGTATTTCTTGTGATATTTTGCACTCTGCTTTAGTTTCGGTTGTTGTCTAGCGACAGTTAGTCCGCCCGCCCATTAGAGGGCGATCTAGAGTTCTTGTTCACTTTGTTGCCGACCACTTCCTGTTTTCACATTTCGTGTTTTATGTCTGTGCTTGAGTCTCTGAACCTGTTCGTAACATTATGTATTAGCTTCATTTATCTCTTTTAAGCATCTTTAGCTAACTATTTATAACCTTCATCCACTGCAATTAGCTAAATAGTCCAATTATTTATTCATGTCAGCTGACTATCATGGCTTGTCATCTAATTCAATCAGTAGGCATACCTTTTTTGATTTTTTTTTTTTTTTATTTTGATTATTTTTTTTTTTTTTTTTTTTGTAGTTGCAATTAAACACATTGATGGACAATACAGCTTTAAATAAGCAGAATTTGTAACAGATACAGTGACACATGCTGGCAAATAGGAATAGACGAGAGCTTGAGATTATACACTTATTTAAAACAGTGTTAAAAAAAGTTAAGACAAATTGATCTTTTTTTGCACACCATATTGCGAGGCCTTAAACGACTTAAATCAGGTGTGAACAAATTGTTTAAGCTATCCAGCGGCGCTCTTATTAGCTGAATGGATTGCGTTCACAGCTAATTTTGGGGTTTATTAGACAGAACCACTGACTATTGCAGCCATTCTGCAGCGATTTGTTGACACTTAAGCAATTAAGTCCCCTAATTAGGAGGCATAGTTGCAATCAAAAATGTCCCATATCTTAATTATAACTTGGAGTTTGACTTCAGCAGTTTTTTTCCTTGTATTTGCAATGTCACTATACTATTGTGCCTCTCTAAAAGGATTGCACAGATTGGAGGGTGCCAATGCTTTTGTTTTTTTTCCCGATTACTCCACATTGTCTATTGGCTCCGTCACTTCCACCAAGCCTTTATCTGCTGAGCTGTGAACGCCTCGAAAGGGAAGCACACAGCTGAAATCCTTTATCCCATTAATTCTCACAGTGGAGATCAGCTGCACACTAACCTGTTGGAGCTGAAGTATAATGTCTAACATCAGCCAGAGTGTGTGTTTTACACATCTCATCCATACATTGGGTGATTTCACTCCAGCAGAATCACACGGCAGCAGCAGCGAGGCCCAGAGATAAAAGATATTCCTACTGGTAAAAATATACCAATAGTACAAGAGGAATAGTCTACAGACGTGGAGTATTCCTAGATATTAAATTTTCAACAAGCTAGAGACGCTGAGAACATCCTGTACCTGCAGGGATATCCTGTAGCTACCATCCTTCTTATCCTACCATCCCACTATTCTTCAGCCAGGTATTACCAGCCATGCTTCTTTCCTTTGAGAAAATGTCATGATAACTTATGTGCAAGACAGCCCTCTCATTTACGGAGGCCGGGCACGGACTTATTACAACCTTGCCAAGTCATGTTGAACGACCTGGTGGTGACACCTGAGCCAAATTAAGGCGAGAGAGAGAGAGAGAGATGAAGGACGCATTGACATATCACAGCCTCAGAAGTAAGTGTTTTTCAGTGCTTGTGATGTATTTATGAAGTCAAAGCTGGAATATTGCTCAGCTGCTTTTGCTGTGATGAATCCGCTATTGCTCCCTTTTATTTTCTTCTATTTATCTTGACATGATAGCTGAGATTCTGTTGACCGCATGCGTTTCCATAAGTGCACAGGGAACAGGCGCTATGCTAACCCTGTACATCATCGACACTTTACGTCAGTCGGACGGTGCGCCCCAGACAAAACGCTGCATTTGTATTGTACTCGGCCGAATCAAATTCCCCTAATTCAGATTCTGAGCAGGTACCAGTCAGACAGAGAGAAGTTAGCTGAGTATAGTTGGGAAGGAGGGAATGGGAGTGAGATACAATCACAGATGTCGACTGAATCCTTTCAGGGGAGTGAACTTTTAGGAACTCTATCATAAAAGAAAATGAAAAATGTTTCCCTGACTTGCTCTGTCTTAGTCTCTCCTGGTCCTCCCGCCCCTCTTCTATCCAATTCCCTCAACCTCAGATTTTTTTTTTTTTTTTACTCAGACTTACCAAGATAGTGGTGACTATGTAAGTCCTGTTCTGTAACCCGTAGGTCTCGTTGCTGCCCCTCATGAAGCTGGCCGTGGTCACATACTTCTCATCTTCGTTCCAGTAGCCGACCTAAGGCAGGGAGAATACAAAAGTCAGGCCTGTAGTTTTTTTTTAACAGCTTTGAGTTATATTTCGACTAAAGCCAGATGTAAAAGCTTCCCTTTCTACCCCTACTCACAGACTTATATCAAAGCTATTTATCATATTTCTCATGATTTAAAAATATTCCTTAATTTAAAAGAGGTTCAGCCATGTATGAAATTAGCTGAGTACATTTTACTTTGCATGACTGAAGCACCAAAAGAGAATGTATGTGAAGCAACAGGGCAAAACTAGAACTGTAAGGATGAATAAAGTTCTCCGAGTGTATAATTAAAAGTACTGCAGTTTGAGACTAATATTTGCTTTAGGTAAAATGTCTGTTGATTTATCAGCGAGGCAAATAAAATATTCCCTGCATCTTCACCATCTGCATGTGTCACCGAGGTGCTAAATTGTAATCATTGATTTTATTACTTCTTTTTAGAGTCAAACACCTTCTTCTGCTTAAGAAGAAAGCATTTGACTTCTTCCTAATGATTACATTCCACATTTTATATATATATTTATATATATATAAGGCAGAGTGAAGGTAAATCCTTCTCTGTACTTGGCTTTTAATGCTCAAGGTACATGCATGAATAATCGTGTGATCACTCAAGGCCTGCTGTAAAAGGTCAACCGTCAGTGTAAGTAGTTAATGGTCTGTACTCCAATAGTGCAGACCGCTTAATATTTAAGCACGTGTAGGTTGCTTGTTAAATTCGTCATCATCTTCAATACGGAAACACTTTGAACTCCTAAACTCGCTCTTCAGAGTATTTCTACACTGTAAAAAAAACGTTGTGGTGTGATTTAACTGATATTTAGTTTTTCAGTATTTCAGAAATACACACAAATATCAATAACATTACAAAAATAGACGGTGAACTTATATGTCTAATGTAAAATTATGCTGAAATAGTGATTTTTTTGAATGGAACAACCACAAATTTACAGATTTAATTGATTAATATGAACAATTTGCAGAAAAACAAGTATTTCTTCTGCAATTTTAAATAGATTTGTTCTATCCTGTATAATTACAGAAATCTAAACAATAAAATATGTTGAATAAGTGTGTTTTTATTAGTGTATGCTATCTATAAGCGTTGGTAGTTCATCAAAATCTATCTATCTATCTATCTATCTATCTATCTATCTATCTATCTATCTATCTATCTATCTATCTATCTGCATTATTATGCGTTATATGTAATTAAATAGTTCTAACGGATGCATATATCCCTCAATAATTGCTAAAAAACCAAAAATCTCATTTAAAAACAAGACTGGGAAACACTGTAAAGTCACTGATGATTATTGTCCATTATTTTTAAAACACATTCCAGCATCTGGAATATATATATATATTTTTCAAATCTGTAATTCTTGCAAGTTTGATAGATATATATAAACACAGCCCCAGACCTCTAACAGACTTACAGAATACTGTCTAAGGCTATAAAATGAGCAACGAGCTCATTCAAATGCTAAGCTTCCAGGCAGAGTTTTCCAGCACGGTCCATGAGGAGGAGTAAATAGCGTGACTTGTAGCCTCGCGCTCACCTTCTTTGGTCCGGAGGGGGCCAGCTCCATGACGCTAACGGTGTAGTTGGTTCTGCGGCCTTTCTCGTTAAACTGAATGTGACCGGTCAATCCGTCTATGCGAACCTGTAATAGAGTCACAGACATAGAATAAGTAATTCAGACGCTCCGAATCTCCTGGCAGATGGGCAAATACCGGCTGGCGTGAAGCATGATATTTATACAGGCCTTATTCCTCGTGTCCGTGCGAGCGGCAAGCATTTCCATGTCACGCTTACACGCCGTTCGCATTAAGCATAGCTCACATGTGTTTGCACAGCGTTCATTTGTGAAAGTCCACAGTCCCCGCAGAGGTGAATGACAGACGGTATATGTGTATGTGTACAGTGCGGTGTGTTTGTCTTGGCTGCGTGATGGAATTAATTGAGCGAACACGGCTTCAATCTCCAGTCTATCCGCGGGCAGATGGCTGGATTGAATGTGAGCAGGCCTCTGTGCAGCCACTCTGCTCGAGCACTCTGCAGACAGAGCCCCGGGCTGCACACAAACACAACCACACACACACACACTCACATGCAATTATACATATGCCCTCACAGGCAGAGAGCATTTATTCTGCGTCCATACATTATATTAATGGTGTTCCTGAGTAAACAAATAACACACTTGACTTTTAATTTGACTTTTAATTGGCGACTGTATTCCGTCTTGTTTAAAATATCATTCCGAATGTAATAAAAAAATCTAATTGTTCCTCGATTCACAAGCTTGAGTGCGTCTCCGTGAGATCAAGAAGTCTCGCAGCCCGTCCGCCGCTTCCATTTGCCAAATATTACAATTCTAAACTCAATTGCTGATGTCATATTCCATGACGATCACGGCCGAGTGTTATTGCCTGCAGGTTTTGTTTACTAGCCGTGATGTCACATTTGATACTGGAGAGCTCCTCTACGACTTAATGTGAACTTTACACGACAGAATGAGACCTAATTTGTTCAGCCAGCCCCGACTCAGGAGCCGTTAGCCGATGTGCCACTCAAGAATTTGCGAGAGTGTGTGTGTGTGTGATGGGTTAGGGGTGTGGGGGGGGTGGAGGATGGTCTATGCATGTACATGTGTGCAGACCTGCTGCAGGGCTCTCTGGATGTCTATGCCCTGCCCCCAGGGAGCTGGCGGGTTGGCAAGACACTCTCCAGCGTTGCCCCTGCGAGAGATGTCTATCCTCTGTCTCCTCAAATTCTGGAAGGCCGTGGACATGACTTTCACCCCGTCGTATGTGAGGGCGCCTGTGTACTGCAACAGAGAGAGGAGATATTTCAAACAGAAGCCACGTTAATAAAAGTCTTTTCTATGGATTCCACAAGGATTTAAATTTGATTTCAGCTGCGTTTTTATCTCATCAAATAATAGTAAAGCTTTGCAGGGCTTGCTTACTATTACTTACATTTTTTTTTAGATTTGGAATCAATCTCAGCTGGTTGGACAGAATAAACGAAGGATCATTCAATAGCAAAAGCCCTAGATCTGAATCACTAATCCCAGATAGGATCTACTCGCCTTATGTATTTGAAACACCTTCATAATTTCCATCTTTCACAGAGGTAACCCTCAGCTCAGACAGAAAATCAGTTTTCAGTTAGCTCTTTTTATATCCTGCGCTACTTCACAGCTCCTGAATTCCCATAAAGCTAGAAGGAGGACACTAAAGGAAGGAGAGGGAGCATAGATCAGAAAGTGAAGGGGCAGTACTTTGAGTCCACTCTTGGGCACTTTGGAGTCTTTGTTATCAAACTCCATCCACTGCTGGACGACGCGGCTCACGCCCGGCTCCGAGTTGTTGACGAGTTGGAAGCCGGTGATGTTGGCGCCGCCTTTCCTCAGGTCCGTCAGGTCGATGTCCAGGAAACCCTGGAGAGGCACATTAAGGAAATACAAATCGGATTTCTTACAAGCACATCTTCATTTCAAGAATCTTTAGAGCAGTTTCTTGAAATTCCTTGTTTGCCACAAACAGAAAAAGGAGCACAAGACACAATGTCATTTAAGCAGATTAAGGCTTGTTAGACGTTGTTTTAGTGAAGGACATCCAACGTTACATGCTCATGATTAGTAGCTGGAGAAAAACTCCCTGCATGTTAATTCTAAAGAAGGATCTGTTGGTCTTTTATGTATATTATAGTGCAGCACATTGTAGTCAGAGGAATTAGAAGACAAATCTAAGGGGTAACTAGATTAGTTGTTACATAGAGCTTTGACTTGTGAGTGATTAGTTCTTCATAGAAAGTTTCATTTTTGAGATTGAAATTGAGAATAACAGACATAATATGTGATTTTTGGGACCATATTTGACATCTAAGTACAAATATCTTGATGTTTATTGTTATATATGCATGTAAACAGTTTTACCATACCATACATATCACATTCTAACTATGTATTCTAACTATTATGTTGCTTTAAGTTCTGTAACTTGTACAAATCAATCAACACCAAACCCAGACTAGCTTTTCTTTTTTTTAAAAATCAAAGCTGCAACGCGAGAACAGCGAGTAACAAGGAAGACCAACAACATATTGAATAAAAAACACTATATTAATGTTCCCTCCGTTATTTCAGTCTCTTCTTTTTAAATGAGTTGAACACAAATAATACAATTTTCTGTCTAATGGAAATAACAATGAAGGTTTCCTTTACATCACTGAATAACTCCGAAATGTTCTTGCGAGCTCAATATTTGGTCGATTGTGATGCTAGCTATATGTGCAGTTCAACAACAACATTTTCTTCTAAACTAATCTGGTTGCAGATGTCTGGACTTGGTGCAGCCACGAGGCACTTGGGGTAGAGTTGTTTTTCTGGCTGTCGTACAGGTGTAGAAGCAT